AATCCAAAGCGAAAAACCTTTTTAAAATTTGCTTTGCGTGGCTTGGAATGTAGAACCAAATCGTGCCATTATCATCGTAGGACAGCCGCCTTAAGCTTATACAACTTTCTAATTTGGGTAGTAGATGGACTTGATTGGACGTTTCCTGATAAATGCGTACAAGGTATAAAAAACCTAATGTAAATATACATTTATATAAAGATATATATATATATTAAAGAAAATATTAGTAATAATAAGAATCAAATCAAATCATGTTTAATTTCGATTTACGATATAAGAAACACACTGCTACATCTAACGGGTTTAAAACATGCATTTTTGATATCCAAATTTATGATAAAAAAGAGAAGTATTGGGAAGAGACAGTGAGAAAATTCTCTTAGGAGTTGCAGTGAAAAAAATTTGTGAAAATAAAATTTTCATTGTCATTGTCCCTTTAATCTTCTAGCAATGAAATCTGGTTCTGACCATCAATGCCTTAAGCCTGGACATTAGTATTTTCATTGCAGTGTGTGGACATGATCGTAAAGTTTTTAAATTTTATAGTTATACGATTCGCTACTGTCTCGCTACTGTAGTTTAAATTCTATTTGAGCAAACATTTATTCCATACTCATTATCTATCGGATTGGATTGGTGCGGCAATAGGTTAAACTTTTCTCATATTGTAGAAGACATTTTTTTTTTGGAATTGAGCGAGTACGAGCCTTGAGATCGAGCACATTCCCTAATTTTAGTAGTAGTTTGATTTCAAAGAAACATCGCTAAAATCATTTGCACGTCTAGTTCATATTGAAATGCGTTCATAATCAGGAGCAATTAAGAGTACTTTGGAATGCTCTCTTCAGTTAAGCCACAACATGGGTTTCCAGCCGTATTCATGATTTTATCAATTTTGTTATCACCTTTTTCAATATCTGTTACGTGAATCTGAATAGATTTTGTGTTCTCGTTCTGTTCGAATAACATTGAATCGATAACATATCATACGGAGCGGGTGTACGCGAACAAATCATAGATAAATGCAAATGCAGTTTTGTAGACAAACGCAAACTGCACATGAAATAGTTGGAATTTTTTTTTATTTATTTTTTTTTTTTTGTCTTGCTTTCTTGTTCTTCTTGTGTTTTTTTTTTTGGATAGTGAAAAAAATTTACACATCGATCTATTACAGTTAATATGGAGTTCATGAGGGGCGTTGCTATTGTCTCGTTAAAATATCGATTTATTCGCATTACAACCATGCATGTATATATGTATACGCTTACCCTATATAAGTTGAGAAGTAAGTATGTGCGTGCAATATATGCCAAAAAAAAAAAAATAAAAATAAAAATAAATAAAAAAAAAATAAAAATAGATATTTATGAAAGTATATATATATACATATATATATATATATATATATATATACAGGAAGTTATACTTTATTTACAGTATTTTTGCAAGTCTACACATATTCTCATACTCTTCGCATATATGAAATATGTGCGTAAGTGCGTATATTTTATTCATAAGAGAGCCACAAGTGTTTTACATTCAAAATTCCCATGCAATCAAATGAATAGAGAAGAGACACTAGCTCTGTGTTCATGCTAACGAATTTGCCAATCGCTCAAAATTCCCCCTGCTTTGGAATATTGAGGAAGTATTTTGTAAACGAATGTGTTTTCTTTTTACTCTATGCTACTCTATATGTAAGTATATTATAAATATGTATAAAGTCGTGCACTAAATTTACTGAAAATGGATGTTTATCGAGCTACGAAATAAAATTGACAAATTGGAGTATGGTTGAAGGGGCGGTGCTTACGTAAAACGAAGAGCTAAACACCAATCATCATAATGTTCTACGCCTGCATTTTATTAAAAGTGAAAAGAAAAACAAACGAAAAGAGCATGGCTCTCTGTACCGGTGATTACACAAGCAATTGTAAGCAGATTGAACGAGCGTTTTCAGAAATTTCTTAACAAACGTTTGATATAAAGTGGTGATTTTGGCATAACGTCACATCTGCTGCATATATATACATATATATATATATGTATATATATAGATATACAGCCGTACCTAAACTTTTTTAGTTTCGGGTCGAAATCAAATTTTATAATAATAGTAATTAATTATATGTTAAATGAACAAAAGAGGTTTTTATTTCGCCTTTAATCGAGAATGACATTATAATCGGAATAGAAAAAGATCGAATATAATTTCTGAGCAAACCTATTGCTTATAAAGCCATGGCAAAGTGGAACCGCACTTCAATCAGTATATCAAACGAAATTCAACTAATACGTGGGGAGAAGTTGTATTCGACTTAGGTCGAATTTTCAAATCTTATTTACATATGTCGTATAATATTTGATAGTAAGAGAGAGAGAGAGAGACAGAAAGAGAGATAAAGAGAGAGAGAAATTTGCTTTCATTTATCATATATCGTATATTTTGTGTATTTTTTTACAATATGTAACAGTTTACTGGTAATAATCCGGACTAAAAGTATATTTCATTAACTCATATATTAAGAAGTTGTTGCTGCTATTCAACTAGAAACTAGATTGAAAACTAGAGATGCAAGATGCTGAGTTAAACTTAGCCTTCCCCAACTGAGAGTAATATTTTCAAGTTTTAGGGGCGACTATAATTTACTCGACCACAGTTTCTTTGAGAATTCAATAGATCGGAATGGTGATGGGGGGATGATGGTTACCATATCCGCAATGCAAATAACCTTGATGCCGAAAAATCGAAACGACAACAGGTGATGGAGTTTAGACTTTCGGCTCGGAATTCATATTTTGTCTGTAAGTTACGAGGAGTAATAATTTACGATGAACAATAGTTTGATGGAAATTTTTTTTTTTTTTTTTTTTTTTTTTACACATTCAATTTTATTCTCCTAATCCTAAATAAGTAAAATTGTAAGCGAACACTTAATACCATTTAGATGATTTTATTGGTTTAAACAGCTAATTAAGGACAAATTTAACAACTAACTTACCGCCCTAAGCTGAATACTTTACAATCTTGCGATAATTATTTGGAGGAAGATAAAAATAATTAGCAAGCAAAGTAATTGATTTTTAAACTTAACCTGAGAACAATGATAAAAAGCATTTAATTTGCTTTTTTATAAGAAAGCCGTCTTATAGACAGATGAATCTGACTAATTTGTGTTCTTCAATCAAAATATATATATTTTTTTCGAGTGTATTTTTGTATTAATGTTATGTGTACAATCAAACAAATTCCCTGCGTTACGCCACTTGAGTCTAAAGCACAATTCGAAATTTATGTATATTTGAATGATTTTTGAATAAACTGTAGACAGATATTTGCTGTAAAAATATTCAATTCGCTTCGAGAATTAATGCGAAGAGAAGAGCTTTCAAGCTCATTCGTCAATTGATTGATTTGGTGTTACCTCTGCTTACTGTATCTAGTATTGGTTTTATTATATTTACCTCTTATCTATTCTAATAGGTTTAACTTTGCTTAAGACAAACAAAAATGAAACCCAAAATTAATAAAAAATTATATTACATTAGGTTTTGCACGACTATAACAAAAATGTGGAAAATTTATTCGCCCGATGACAAGTTTTTATCATTTACCTGCACTTTGTCATTACATGTATAAATTAAAATCTGTATTTTTATAATCTATGTTCTTGACCCCTCTTTGGTTCGGCTATAATTTAAGATATCGATAAAAGTAAAAAAAAAGGAATAGAAATTTAGAAAATCGCTTAAAGTTATCGCCTTTTTTCCTCCTGATTTACTCGCTGATTTAATTATTCGCTGGTCCATTGCGCCAAGGCCAAGTTTCACGATGGTAATTATCCTGGCCTATAAACATTTGCAAAAATCTATTATGCATGTATTTGTGGTGAGTAGTTGACAAGAAATGAAAAGAAAAAGTTTTTCTACTAGGTAGCCTTAGCGGATCCCATTTTAAGACCGACTGGTTAGTTGCACAAAAACGAAAAAAAGGAAAAAAAAAAAATAAATAAATAAAACAAAAAAATTTAAGAAAAACTAACAAACAAACAAAACGGTTGTCATCCTCATAATGTTTGTTTTGAAACTTTGCAAGTGTGCGTCTCTCTCTCTCTCTCACTTGCATGCGCAAAAGAGAGTCAAAGTTTCGATCGCTTGCCTGGTTGGTTAATTACACAAACAGTGGATGAAAAACTATATTCTCACTTTTGAGTGTATTTTTATATTGTGTATATTGCGTATATGTGCGCACAGAACGGCAGTTTAGATTGTGTTGTTGTTTACCAATACCGGTTACGTTTTGTAGCAAGTTATCTTTTTGCGAGATGCTACTCATTCGCCCATACAAGCTGTCAGTTTGCCGAGTAATCTTGCGTTGTAATGTTGCGCGTTCTGAGATCTTGCGGCATCGAATTACATAAATCTTTAAATCTTTATCTCGACGTGTGTACACATACTATTTTTAAAATATTTCTCTATAAATGAAATTGTACCATATAATGATCAGCTAGCCAAAAAGAAGCGTTTTAAAGTAACATCTGCAATTTTTACGAAATTTTTAAAAAAAAATGTTCTAATCGATTTGCTCAAAAATTATAAAAAAAAAAAAAAAAAAAAAAAAAAAATTATACGTTTGCTAAAAATGTTTTCATCAAAATCGTAATTTTCCTTTTCACTTTTTTTTTTTTTTCCCCTCTTTTTTTTTTTTTTTTTTTTTTTTTTTTTTTTTTTTTTTTGTTTAATCCATTCCAATGATCGAATATAATCGAATTCGTACATTTTTATACGCGTTAATAGTATAAAAATAATTCAAAAAAAAAAAAATAATAAATAAATAAATAAATAAATAAAAAATAAGGGAGAAAATTGAAACAAAATGTTATTAATTGTTATATAAGTGCTATGTAAAAATCCACGTACGTATATATGTATACATAAAGTATATATGTATTTACGTGAATTACAAAGTAGATAAATTTTGTATAAAAAGCAAAAAAAAAAAAAAAAAAAAAAAAAAACGTATTTATTAAGATTTTACTTTTTGTTATTGGATTAAAACCCGCCAAAATTGTGGAGGCAATTAAAATGAAGGTAAGGAAGGATCATCATTTACATGTACGGGCCGCCGCTTTGGCTATGGTTTGTTTGTTGTTTGCATGCGTGCAGGGCAAAAAAATTTATTTTTAATATGATGAGTACATGACATGCCATTCAAAAAAAAATTCATTAGTCAGATCCAGTAAGCCGCTGCTCGTCTCTAATAATGCGCGCAGATAAAAATTTACTCCTTTTCTAAGCATATTAAAGATGCAGCGGTTTGTTTCTAAAAGTAATTTTTCAGGCTAATGCTTAAGATGGAATTATTATATTTGATTGTTTCATGTCGGACAACAATACAATCCTAAAAGACGAAAACTATCACGTGCTAATGATCACTTTTATAAACAACCTACAACTGCTTAACGATTCCCTGCTATAATTTTATATGTTTTTTTTTTCTTCGTGTCCTTAATAAGAAATTCTCAATCTCAAGGAACGCAGCTAGAGACAACATAGACAACCATTGAACCATTTTATGACACATATCACTCCTACTCTTTATCTATGCAGCGGCTATTAATACTGGACGAAATATTTGTTCTTAAAGCGAATTATGTCGATTTCACGAAAATTCGCAAAATCTTTCAAATAAATTTCAACTAAAAGTAGACTCGAACGATATTACAATTTCGATCAATTTTCTATTATAGGTTTCGCCTTTAGTGTGTGGTTGTGTAATATTTAATGTAATAATATTTTGTTTTCATTACTATTTCTGATCTTTCAAAAAAAAAACTATAGCAAAACGATTGTTTGTTTTTTTTTTCTTCTGAAATTTTAATTGCTTATATCAACAAATTTATAGTAAATAAAATTTCGAAATGGATCTGATGCACTCCCGGACTGCATAGATTCATAGATATCAATGTTTATATTTCCCATATATAAAAAAAAAAAGAAGAAAAGCAAAGGGCTTATCTAAATTTATTAATTCCCTTCGAAGTAGCCAAAAAAAGTTATATAGATTTCTTTGGACAGCAGCAACGTAACCATTTAATCCGTTGCAATGCATTACTTGAGTGCTTTTTACTTTATGGCACAAAATTTACTTCAATCAATCCGAGCTGAAATCATTTGACTTAAAATAATAAGTTTGCTCAAGCCAAATCTGATTATATTGAACTTTTAAGATCACATGCATTGACTAAAGAACTGAACTTGTAACATAACCTTTTTAGGTATATTAAAAATGATTATAAAAAAAAAAAAAACAACCTTGAAAAAAATTAAAAATTTCAAAACAGACTCATCCATAATCTGGTGTCGAGATTTAAAACTACGGTGAAAGTATATAAACACATATGTATATATATACGCAATCTATAAATAAAGTATATAGATTTAAAGCCTAAATAGCAAATCAAGGCCGTTACATTGGTCATTGTCGCTAAAAGCTTAGTTTCATTTTCTGCGTTTAGTTTACCATTGCTTACTTTCATTGCTAGATTGCTCTCTTCTTTCGTGATCTCTTGTTAACATAAAATTAATGATTTTTTTTTTTTTTTAAATAGATTATATATATTTATATATGGATAGCATTGCTCTCTAATTTAATTTCCTGTCTATGGAAGCTTTCAAGTAAAATCAAATTTTTCTTCTTTCTTTTATTTATTTATTAACGCATTAAAAAATAAATAAACATAAATATCTCACGAATTATGGTTTTATGAGTTTTCTACACAACGTCTTTCTTCAAAACGATCTGCAAGTGAGACTTTTGGGTGTCGTTGTAAGCGCCTATTACGCATTTAATAACAACTAAATGCAAGAAATTGATATATATATGTACTAAAGAGCATTTAACACTTTAATTCATCCTAATATCACAAAAAAAAAAAAGAAGAAAATTCAGTTTCGGTTTTAATTTTCCCCTTAACGTACAAGACAATGAAAGAGTAACAGCTTAAAAAAAAAACAAAAAAAAAGAAACAAAAAGCATGTCGTTGGAATGAAACCACCCAAACGCATTGGAATGCGAATATTCGAAGTAGTTACATACATATTATTACACGTAAACTTTTTCAAAAAAAAAAAAAAAATTTTTTTAAATTATTTATTAAAGATCGGAACACCGGCATGATTGGTAATCAGTAAAAATTTGGATCTAACAAACGAATGTCTGTAGCTATCGCAATATGCAGCGAATTCGAAAATTATTAATTTTTGTAATCGATAGGCATTTAAATTAAATTTTAAATATATATGTAAAACAATTCGAATGAAAAACAAAATAAAAATAAAAATACAAACTGTTCAAGTTACGCTGCATGTAACTTTGAAAAATTATTTTTCGCATTTAAAGTTTCAAGCAATAAAGCAACATAATAATAATATAATAGAATGCAATAAAACAAAATTTGTGAAAATCAAAATTTTTTTTTACCTTTCATCATTTTCTCTTTTTTTTATCTCATTCCTAATTATTTGAGGATGTTCAAGTCAAAACAGAAAAGGAAAAAAAAATCGTTTTCTAAGAAAGTTTTTAATGGAGCTAACCTTTGAAATATAAGACAAACGATTGTAATGTATATAGATATGTGGACAGAAAAATAGGTGTATGCGGTTTTATGCTGATGGGGATGGTGTTCTTTTCCATTCCATTTTCCCCCCCTCGTATATATTACATTTATCAGTTATTTATTACGTAATAACATTTCCGCGTATGAAAATGTGTGTAAGAGTGATGCTAAGCATAAATAAATATATATATGAAAGAAGTACCGTTTCAAAAATATCGCACGTTTCCAATTGGACAGTGTAAATAGGTGTATAAGCAAAAATTTGAAAAATAACCCAAAATATTATACAGAAGACTAAGTATTTTTATTATACATTTCTTCGCTTTTCCTCATCGTCTTCTCGATTATACTCTGGACTAAAGCAAAGTCTCTGCTCTGCTGTCCTGAGCAAGGGAACTTTCGGGGCTATTATTCCTGGTATCTAATTGATACGTAATAACTGTCGACAAACAGTTCGGGATGATTCGAAATTTCATTCGAAATTGCTGTAGATCTAGGCTCGCTTTGCTAACATTATCATGTATTTATCGGATGCAGGTGACATTTTTCTAACTGCTCCGCATCTCTCAACACTTGTTGTTTGGGAGGCAATAAAACTTGTATTTTTTTTGCCTGATTTCGAAGCCAAGAATGACCAAGCCTTCCTCCTTCTTGGCTGCAATGATGTGCTCGATCTATCTATTCATATTCTAATTTCTTCTCAAGGAATGCGATTTAGTTTTACAAATCGCCTTCACAGGCAACATTTTGCCGAACACTTCACTTTTCATAACTTGAAAGAACACGCACTTATTTCAGTGTCCAGCTGAAAAACCTACTAAATCTCTCGACTTTTTTGTGCAAGAACTCGCTCACGTTCGATTCGAGGAATTAATTTTGGATAGTTTTGTCACTTGTAAAAACTTTGTGTGAGCGCTTGTGGGAGCTAGTTTTATATACATATAGAAATGTACTAAAGCAAATTTAATTAAGCCAAATACAATTTGATAATTAATTTACTTACACATTCCGATAATTTCCAAAATCATAGCTATGCCAGTTTCACAGTCTAGAAGCTTTCGCGCTTTCATTTAATTATTTTCCTACTCTTACGAACATCTATCTACTCATGCCAAGACTATCTATACAAACACTATAATATGAGCGATGCAAAACAATAACGACAAATATAATCCATTCAATATTACCCTACACCTATCTATATTGTTGTTATATTAGGTGCTTGCCAAAACTTTGGCCAGCGACTTCTCTACGTGAAAATGATATTAGAAATGAGAAATATCAGTGTATATTGATTGACCTTTCTCTACATAATATAACTGTTATTCTATTTCATATTATTGATTTATCCGGCGTATGCTAGCGCTAATCATGGAGCACTTAAAAATTGCATTCTCGACTTTCATTACTTTTTTTATTTGAAGTTGAAGAAATCTGCTGTCCGAGCCTAACAAACGCTTTTAGAAGCTTATGATGTGATGCTGCCCCATTGTATATACCAATAGTCGGTCTTAATTTTAACGGTTTAAAAGTGCTGATTTTAATGTCAATAACAAGGCATGGTCTGGAAAGCCGAAAACATTCGAAGATAATGAATTCTAAAGCGTATTGGACGAAAACCAAGCTGAAACTCTCAATCAAGAATATTCGGTCAGCTTAGCAGTAGATGCAGTCAACTGTTTCTGCGATGGGAAAAATCGAAAAGGAGCGAATGTTGCTTGCCATGCCCAATAAGAAGGGTTTTCTTTCGTGGATCTATTACGACAATTTCAATACCCAAAAGTAGTGAAGCAGTCCAATGGAGTCATCCCGATCGATACAGAAACATAGTCTTCCTTGCCATAAGGTTTTGCTGTGCGTAGGGTGGCGTCAACGATTACAATCTTCTAAAACCGGGCGAAACTGTTATTGTCGATGGGTGCGGAAGTCAACTGAACGATGTTGTTTTGCGGAAAAGACCACGTAGTACCGACTAAAACGGCTACTACATGATGGCTACTGCAAATGGCATATTGGCCTCTTGTTCTAAACGTTATCAAGGATACGCTATTGTTGTTCGAAAAGGAAGTTCTGCGACACCCAGCGTACTCAACAGAGATGACACCTTCTGAATACTATTTGTTCAGATCGATGCAGCATGATTTGGTTTGCATGCGATTCCGCGAAATTAAAGAAGTGCGAAAATATGTCGATGATTAGATCGCTGGCAAACCAATACAAGTTTGTTTGACGCAACAACGTCATATTGCCAGAAATATGGTCAAATGTTGTTGAAAATATTTTAATTAATTTACATTGTACCAATCTTTCTCAATAAATAACTTTTTCGAGTAAAAATTGGCCAACATTTTTGCAAACACCTAATAAATACAAACAAGTAAGAAAATTATGTTTGGTCGCGATCGAATTTTTTATACCTATTAACAGTATTCCAAAAAAAAAAAATTGGCAAAAAACAGGGAAAGCAACGAT